GTGAGGTGTGCGGGAGCCCTGAGGGGCTGGTGTGCGGGAGCCGTGAGGCGTGCGGGAGCCGTGAGGGACACGCGGTGTGTTCCCGGCCAGGAACGGCCCGTGAGCCTTCGCCTGCAGCGGCCTGGGAGGGAAGAAAACCGTTCTTTATCTCCTGTAGCCGCAATCTGAGGAGGGCAGTCCCGTGGCCCATCAGGAGATCGCAGTATCACGGGAAAGTCCTTGTGGCGACCGTTTTTAGGTTTAATTCTCGGATCTGCGTGAGCTGCCACTGCGCGCTTACAGGTCTTGTTTCCTGTTCTTACGAGGAGTACACACACACACGTGCAAGAGCATGTGCAAGCCCTGAGAACTAGGAGTAGGAATCTGTGCTGATTCCCACAAGGCTTGCGGCATCGGGAGATGCACTGTCAGTAACATCGAGGCACCGGGCATGTGGAAGGGCAGGTTGATCGCACGGGTAAATTTGGTGCATTAGAAACAACCAACCAACTGGCCTGAGTGTGCAGCTGCCTTCTCTTCCAGGTAGTTACTTACTTAGACACCATGTAAAGGCAGGCAAAATGTTATCTGAGCTGTCATATATGCAGTAAGTTTTGTATTCTGTAAGAACCACACCATCCTTGTCAATCTTGGCTGCCTTAGAAGAGTAAAAAATTCCGTACTTCTGTGTTCAGCATCATGAGACAACATCAGCTTGTGTGTTACTTGTTATTTCTTTAAAAATGTAAAAAGGATGTAAGCATATACATGCTTTGTCTGCATTCAAGCTGTCCACTCCAAAGTTTATCATTTGGAAAGGCAGTGTGAAGATACAAAAGAGCTTAAAAAAATTGAGAGAAATGCACATAATGCACTAAAAGCATTAATACAGCTGAGGGAATAAGTTTGTATTTTATGCTAGTTTCATATATATTTATAGCCCTATGAAATGACAGTGAATTACATCATATGCTGCTTAACTGCTTGTAATATAAATTATTTTCTAAAATTACTCTTAAGTTATTTTCCTACTGGCAGCATTCTGAACATCGTTTTTATTAATAGCGTATATACCATATACATGTTGATGATATAAAATACAAATAGATTGATAAATAGAATCACAGAATCATATAATGTGTGGGGTTGGAAGGGATCCTTGAAGGTAGTCTAGTCCAGCCCCCTCTACAGTGCACAGGGATCTTTGTAACTAGATGAGGTTGATCAGAGCCTCGTCAAACCTGACGTTTAATGTCTCCTGGGATGCAGCTTCCACCACCTCTCTGGGTAACCTGTTCCAGTGCTTCACCGCCCCCATAGTCACAGAATTATCAGAGCTGGAAGAGACCTCTAGAGATCATCCAGTCCAACTCCCCGCTAAAGCAGGATCCCCTAGAGCACATTATTCAGGGCTGCATCCAGACAGGTCTTGAGTATCTCCAGAGAAGGAGACTCCACAACCTCCCTGGGCAGCCTGTCCCACGGCTCTGTCACCCTCACCATAAAGAAGTGTTTTCTCATCTTTAGATGGAACTTCCTATGTTCCAGCTTGTGGTTGTTGCCCCTCATCCTGTCACTGGGAACTAATGAAGAATGGGTGTTTCCCTTCTTCAGTCAACAGGAAGTTCATCTGACTGCTATGACTTTTCAAATATCATGGAGAATGGCTTCGTAACTACATGGGCCAATTCCCTCAGCATTCTGAAATCCATGGACTTAATTTATGTTCAGGTTCCTTAGGTGATCCCAAAGCTTGTCTTCACTTACAGTGGGAGGGACTTCCTTCCCCTCATCCCTGTCTTGAGGTCATTCAAGTCAGGAGGTATGAGGAAAGAGATAGCCGGTGAAGATGGAGGCAAAAAATTACCCACATTACTATCTGTATATAACAGAAATAAATTAATACAATAAATGAGGAAAGAGAAATCAAGACAAAATGGAAAGACAATTAATATGGAGAAAAGATTAATAATATTGGATGGAGCTGTTTGTTATGTCTCGTAAGCCTTGCTAACTGCTCTAAAGCTGTTTCATTTGTTGTCAAAGCTTGATGGATGGAGAAAACTGTTCAGTGTAGTTATTTTGTTTAATCCTTTCTGTTTATTTGTCTTTGGCTTCTGAATACTATGTCTGCAGTTTTCCTGCAAGGTTGAAAATGAGGTAGGAGGAAGGAGATGAGATTTTGTTCTGTTTTTCAGTCTGGATTTTGTCTCCACTTAAAATTCTGTGCCAGTTACCCATACCAGATCACCTTTATGGTCCTTTATTTAAAAAAAAATAAATTAAAAAAATTGTGTCTCTTTGTTCTTGAAGCTATTGTGAACAGATCAGTTTCAGATGTCTGTGCAACATGCCATGTTCATGCTACATGTCATCAAATTGAAGGAAAAAGTGTCTGCATCTGTAACTACGGGTTTGTAGGCAATGGAAGAACCCATTGTCAAGGTAGGCTGCCTCTTTGTAAAATGGCAAGAAACTGTGTACAATATTAAATTGTTCTTTCTTTAGTAATATCACTGAATTCTTCAAAACACAGGAAGAGCTTTGTACGTTCTTGGCAGAGTTTCCAAAACCTAGAATATGTGTGAATTTATTTTCCTTTTCTTTTCTTTTTAACGGGTAGATATGAGCTGTACTTGTACTTGATTTAAGTATTGTTTTGTACTTGGTTTTTAACTGTTTTATTCAGTTTCTGGTATATAATGAAGGATTACAATTAATTTTGTCTTAGAAAATGTAGGGTTTTCTCAAACATTTACTTTAAAAAGTATAATTTGTATGGTTTATTTATTTTTTTTCCTAGCATGAGCCAAAAATAAATTTAAATGTGGTGGGCTTCTCTTTATTTTTCTTTTCAACCTAGGCATCGTTGAACTGAAAACTAGACAATAAAACCAACAATTAGAATCAATGCTTTTTTCCTGATTTTATCCTGTGACCTCAGATTACTGGTTAGCTAAAAATTAATTTCATAATTCAAAGAGGTCTGTTTAGTACTGTGCATATGTACACAGTTCTTAAGTACGAATGTCTGTTACATGAAGGTGTTCAGCCTTGGTTTATTGATGTGGCCGATAGTGTCCTTTTTATACTATCTCATACATGACAAATCAATTTGTGAATCAAAGGATGATGTCAAATGTTGTGTATGACTAAGTGTATCTAGCAGTTTACCATTGCTTAAAGGGGAAGGTCCTCCACCTCTGATCTCTTCCCCCTTCCTTCGCATGCACTGGCACCCACTGGGCCCTGCACGGAGCTCAGTTTTCTCATTATGATGAAGACGAGGTGCATATTCTGCTGTAATAATTCTCTGCCAGTGTCATGAAACTTAATTTACAGTTTCATCCAGTGACAACAGCCTCTGATGGTGTAAATATGCTGGCTTACTTGTAGTGTTTACATCCCACACAGCTTAGAAAGAAAAATAGTTAAGGTGAAGTCTGGTTACACAATGAATGACGAGCAGAGGATACTCTGCTTTTCTCAGTCTCTCTCTGATGTGTTTTAAATGTGCTGACAGACAAAGATGAATGCCAGATCGGAGCCAGCAAGATCTGTGGAAATTATACACTATGTCATAATACACATGGAAGTTTTTACTGTGTTTGCCTTGATGGATACCGAGCCTCGAACAACAACAAGACATTTATTCCCAACGATGGCACTAACTGTACAGGTAGATATCACAACTAATTTTGAGCATCAGGAATACAGAACTTAATTTTCTACTCTACAATTTATTTTTTTTTCCATCACTTTAGAACTCCTGAAACTTTATCAGAGCACTTTTTGCTACAGATGCAAACACACACTTGATGTCTAGGTTCTCACAGCTATTAATCTGCTCCATTCTGTGTTCTTTGCCATGTTACAAATCATTGCTTCACAGGCTCATCCAAGAAATAATACGTCTAGAAGGAGAAGCTCGTTTAAGGAAAATAAGATCATACAGATATTTCCCACAGAGTGTAATGTTTGTGTTTAGTGTAGACTTAGCCAGTTCCTTGTTACAGTCATGGAATGTTGTAACTGACAAAGATTGTTGAAGCAGGAGATAACATTGAAAACTATTTGTCATGTAAATCAGAAAGAGTACAAAAGTGAGAGTCTTCTTTCAGATGCCCGAACACTAGGCAATTATGAGCTGCTCTGTTTCAGAGAAAAGCCATCAGAAGCTGCATAGAACACTTCATGGAATGCTGTATTTGTTTTAATCTTGGATCCTACATTAATTAATTACAAATAAACTGTTGTGAAGTGCTTCTATTTTTCTCTGAATTTGTAGATATAGATGAATGTGAGGAATCTGGGCTGTGTGGTCTCAATGCAAGATGTGTGAATACTGAAGGAAGCTACAAGTGTTACTGCAATGATGGTTATAAATTAGAGAACGGAGAGCATTCCTTTCATCCAGATGGGAACATGGTTTCATGCAAAGGTGAGAGCCTTTGGATGCTTTTTTTGCTAGCAGATAAAATCAGATCTTACATGATATTGTAGTTAGTACCTGCTCTCACCTTTGCTTTTAGGTTTGCACAGCAGAAGCCCTCTCTGTAGACTTTGTCTGGTGTATGACTTTTTTTCTTCTTGGGTTCATCAGTGATATCTGGATGATAGAGTTGAAACTGAATATGACTTATGCAGGCTCTCAGAAGTGGTTCAGGTGTGCAGCATCAGAGAACCTTAATAATGTCATTAATGTGATGTATTTAGTGTCTGAATAGGAAGGAAGTGCTGTATAATCCACTTGCTTATATAGTCACACTGCATGAAGGAAGGGGGAAGAGAGCATAAATAGCTGGTAAGAGAGGTCAGATTAGTGAGACAAGCCTAGGGAGAGGAATAATAAAATAACAGTTTAGCTATTTATTACATACTCTGCCACCTACATCAATAAACTTTTCTGTTTATCTTGCCATAAATAAAATAAAATAAATACTCAATTTGAAACCATTCCTCCTTTCCTCTCTAGTGTAGGTTTTCACAGACACAAAGTGCTAGCAGGGTAACCTGTAGTTGTCAGAACATGCAGGCAACACAAGCATCCCAATTGGAAGGAACTGCATCAATTATATCTATCTCTCCTTTCAGAATTTTCACAAGAGCCATCAGTAAAGCTCACTGCCTGTAGTTTGGCCAGTTTTTTGAACTGGAGTGCTCTGCTTCATTTTGCCAGAGCTGCTGATAACCTTGCTTGTCTCCCTGATGCTCCCCTCCCTGTGCTGCAGTGAAGTAGCACATCTGTACTGACTGTGTCGCTTGCAGAGTCAGGACACGGGGGCCCTGTCAAGCATGTGTGCTGAAGGAATGCAGGTGTTGTACGGAGGCTGGTTTGGTGAGATGGAGGAACGGAGGGGCAGAGCATTTCAGCCCATCTGCAGTGCTTCACCTTTCCCATCAGAGTACATTGTGGCCTGAAATTTTCCTCTGTTGAAGAATCATTCAGCCATTGCTGAAAAGAGACTAACACATGGAAAGCACCATCGCACTGCAGTATCTCCTCTTTGGTGTTGTGAATGCCTCCAGCTCTATGTCAGTAAAGAAGCAGCTCAGTACCTGGATCACTGTATTCCTCCAGCTGTGGCCAGTACAGCTCTTCAACTCTCACCTTCTGCCACTTTGGCAGCCCTGCAGATTCATCAGATGGGGTGTATTTTGTGATGTGAACATCCAGCTCAGCTCAGTTTAAAGTGGTTTTATATTGTGATTTTTGTACTGTGAGGCCTTCTAACCCCGTCTCTTTGCAGAAATTGGATGTGGTTCACCTCCTGGAATGAAGCATGGCTACATTGTGGGAAACTACAGCTTGCTTCCAGGAAGTGTGGTTCATTATGAATGTAAAGAAGGGTTTTACAGCAATGAGGCAAAGCTCTCATATTGTACTGGAAATGAAACTTGGGAACCTGCCACTTTAAGCTGCAAAGGTGAAAAGAGTTTTAAATTCTTCATTACGGGGTTTTAAGCACGGGTAAGTGTTTGCAAAAGACAATAGACTGTTTCCTCAGTCTGAAGGACAAATTTTCAAGATCCAGCTATTTGAAAAAAAAAAAAAAAAAGAAAAGGACAGGTTATAAAATTGTGCCACCTCTACTTGTTAGTGTTACGTCATTTTTTATGCTGATCCCTGCATTTTTACAGACAATGTAACTTACTGTGTCTGAGAACCGAGGCTAGAAAACAACTAGATTTCTACAGCATTTCATGGGAAAGGCCACTGACTTGGAAGGCATCAGTGACATCTCATGAAAAAAGTCTTTCTGACAGCTTATGAAGTTTTTTCCTAAGGTTGATTGTAGATGCAAAAGAGAGGCACCACATCACCCCTCATCCGTGGATAGTCTTCATGATTTTAAGAGCCTTTGCGCGTGAGAAAATGCTTTCACAGCTCTGAAGTGTAAAGTTTCCCATGAGCATCTTTAAAATTTTTCCTTGCTTGGATGTTCTAATCACCCCTACTTTAGAAGTATTGCTGCTTACCAGTGCAGGATTTTGCATTCCTTTGAGCAGTTAGAAAGTCTGTATATTACTTAAATGATATTTGAAGTGCTAGCTAGCAGAAGCTAGACTGTGTGCAACTATTCTACAGGAGAGAGCTGTCATCCTGAAAATTATCCCTTAGTGAGGAAAGTTCCTTCTCTCAAAATACAAAAGCTCTCTTTGTTTCTAATTATTTCCTCGGGTTTTTTTCCCCCCTCTTTTCCTTTGAGAGTGGATAGAATGAAATGTTTGTATGTGTGTCCATGGGAAGTGAACAAACTAGAATAAAGGATGCTAAACCAGTGTGGTAGGGAAAAGCGCAATACTGAATATTGCTAGGAGCTTAATGAGAAGGGAAAGACAGAACAGTTTAATACAAAATTACTGGCATAAAAAATAAAGCAATTGGAATAATGTTTTTGCCCCCAAATAAGTAAAGGACAATGAATTTGAAAACAAAAAGGAAGTGCCCAAAATCTAAAGAGGTCCCTAAAGAAAGCTTGTGAAATGCAGTCCTTCTGAGTTGTTAGTACATTTGTTTTTTGTTAATATTTTTCAGTGATTACTTTTCCATGAGATTTTTTAAATTCTACAGTCAAACAGTAGGTCAGTTTGGAGGTTTTGAGCCATCTGTTATAGTTAGTTGAAATAAAATACATCCAGTACCAAGAAACAGCCCATGAGTCTAAAACTGCAAACATATTTCCTCTTTGTATTGCAAGCTCTTTTCCTGGGTTTCAACTAAGACTTCTCCTTTTGTAAAAACAGCAAGTCTGATTTTTTTTTGTTTCTTAATATTGGCAAAGACACCTCTGAGTTACTCTTGAAATTCTGAGAGTTTCCCTGATAAGTCTTAATTGCTAATTTAAGATTTTCTCCTGACCAGGTGTAATGTCTTCTTGTTCAGGAAAATCAGTAAGTTTATCTTTTGTGTTCCTTCCTGTGGTAATTTAGCAGTTTATTTTAAATAGTCATGATGAAGCTGGCCACTGAAGGTAGGTCAAAGTTGGTAAGATCTGTCTCTAACAGCAGAGTAAAGTAGGTGGAGCAGATCCCCTTTTTGTATTTAAGTATTTGGATGCAATGTATCTTTGAAGAGTATAGCTTCCTTGAATATTAATAAAGGAATTGTCTTGCAATGAAAAGTCATATAGTTTAATGGGAATATTACCACAGGAAAAGAGGGTTAGTTGATAAAGATGAAATAAGTACTCATGGGTGTGCAGCCATCATTACTTCTGAGTTAATCTTCATTTATGAGTTTATCTGCCTTTCTTCCTCTCCCTAGGTGTGGACTGTGGGGTTCCACCTTCTGTCTTAAATGCGCATCCAGCATTTCTGAGTGGGACCACCTATGGAAGTGAAGTTACTTACGGCTGTGCTCATGGTTACTTTATTGCAAGTGGCAACCAGACTGCAGTCTGTAATGCCAAAGGACAGTGGGATGGTGCAGATCTGGTGTGCAAAGGTCAGTCAAATCAGCCTTCAGTTTTATGTAGCATTGATACTGTTTCAGCCATCATGATAATTAACAGTTGGCAAGTAGAGACATCTTTTTTGGGGCAGTTTATACAGTCTTCTGACATCTGAAGTTCAGTCTCAAAATAAAAAGCCATATATTAAATGGTTTATTACTCTTTGTTGCTAATGAAGTTGCAACTGTTAAAAGTTAACATTATAAGGAAAAAAATCCCCATGCATGCATGGGATTTCCATGAGATGAAAATTCAGCTGAATTTGCAGCTTAATATCTACTCTGTGGTTGAAGCCAGTACTCAAAATTTGAACCACTATTTGAACCACCAGTTAGCATCCTCTTAAAGTTCCCATATTCAGACAGTTTCCAGTTGCAAACTATTGACTGCTCAAGCATGCTATTGTTACTTTACATGATTCATAAATTGCTCTTGTTACTATGATTTGGAACAATAACCAAACAAGTTCTTTGAGATGAAAAATCACAAAGGTACATTAAAAAAAAAAAATAGCCCAACAGAATTTCTAGTATATTGTTACTCTCAGCTCATATTATTAATTTATGTGACCACAGTATAATTACAGTATTTAATCAGTTTTTACAGTGACACAACACTTTTCTGTTCAATGGATTATTAATACCTTTTGAGCTTGATCCAGCGGTGCGGAGTCTTTTGTTCATTGCAATCAAATGTTGTCATTTTTCTTAATGTGCCATGTCTCTGTTACAACCACTCTCTACTTTTAGAATCTTCTTTAATATTGTTACGCTGGGTCACCAGACTAAAGGGAAGGTTTGCTGTGGTACCTGGAAATGCAATTCTGCATTTCTGCTTTTCAGTCACATTACAGGATAGCCATGGGCAGATAGCTGGAGTTAAGCAGCAGAAGTTACTGAATCCCATCACATACTTCCTTCTATAAGTTAAGCATGTACATTTGTTATTCTAAAGCTTGTTCTTATGATTTTAATAGATACATACATTCATACACATAGGCCTATGAAAGTAGAAGTAATCATGACAGCGGATGTGTTGCAGTGCATATCTTGAGAGCTTGCATAGATCATGATGACTCTATACACTTTATTTTTTACTGCTTTGCCTTTTTTGAGTAGAATTTCATAATCACCTACTATTATTTACAAAACGGTTTTCAGAGCACTTGTGTTCTGCATATAAATGTTAGTAAAGGTAAGATTTTAGTTCATACATTGTTTACTCCTTATAAATTAAGTGGCACAGAATCTTTTGTTGGGGCGTCATGTTTATTGTGGATTTGAAAGGGAATTTTAACCCTAAATAATACTTTTCCATTTATTTGATGTTTGCTCTTTTTCCTTTTTTGTTCCCTACTTTTATTATGAAGATTCTGAAAACTACTGATAAGTGCGTTACTCCAGCTTTCTATTTATCTTTAAAGTGGTCTGAATAACCCATCAAATTTTCCCCCAGAAGTGTTCTTTCTGCTTTTCTGTCGCAGCTTCTCCTTTTTTCAAAGTTTTAATTAAATGCAGTGTCAAAGGAACATAACCTTCTTAATACTGTTCTTCTCTGTCACTCCTTGGGCCTTGTGTCATTTTTCAGATCTATTGTTAGTAATGGTAGGTTAAATAAATAGGAATAAATAGCATGTGGGGGACAAGAGAGTGTTGTGGGAAGACAGATCTACTTGTCAAAATTGGCTTAGAGATCCTTTTTCTGTATGTCTAACCAAGAAATTGTTTTATTTGATGGCTCATCTTAGAAGGTTAAATGCCCCACTGCTAGAAAGTCCCAACTCCCAAAATTCTGGGTTCTAAATGGCTGGCCTGGCTTCTAGAAATAACTAGGAAGTGAAAAAAAGTAAAGTGTTACTTGCTTGGACAATTCATCTCTCTTTCTTAAACACTTTTATATGCTTTGCCTGTTCTAATGTTCAGGTTTTGTTATCCCTTTTTTTCTGTTTCAGAAATAGACTGTGGCAAACCTTTGCTGATTCCACACACAGAAATGATCTGGTACAACTCTACTAATCTGTGGAGCAGAGTGTACTATCAGTGTAAAGAAGGATATTATTTTGATGGAGACAGGAATTATTCAGAATGCACAATGGATCAGTCATGGGAAAATATCACATATGTATGCAAAGGTAAATATTACTGTAGGAAGTTGCTGTGGGATGTGGTGTTTAAAGAGTTTGTCATTCCTGTTCTCAAGTTAGGGACAGGAGGAAGGATGAAGGCAAGAAATCCCGTTCTGATTTACAGTGTTTGGAACATGGTGTTTCTTTTGGATGGAAAAGTCATGGAAGAGAATGTTAACCATGCAACAATTTCTAGTGGATGCCACAGGTCTTTCTGTAGCTGTCTTGCTTTGTATTTCAAACAAAAATGGGCTAATGCAACTGCAATTTCATTGCTGCACTGAGAACCTTCAGCTTTAAAAGACAGTAGAACATCATCAGATGAGCAGAAGGCATTTAATAACATTTTGGTATGGGCCTAATACCATACAGTGCCTTGTAATTAAAGTAGGAGAGACCGAATTCAAAACTCCTTTTATTTTAATTCTCTAACAATGTCCAAATTTTTTCACGGTTGTCTTTCCAGTCTAGGTCTAGTTGTTGGAATTTCAGTCCTGAAAGATTTTCTTCTAAAAGCGTGAGTCCTGAGATGGGAGTTCTGTGATGAATGTGGTGTCATATAGTGGGCTTGGAGACTGGATGTAGTGACATTTTATCAATAGTGAAAAAATGGCAGATGGTTTGGACTATGCCTGTTGCACTCCTTAGTGTTCTTCTGTGTCATTAGAAAGGGGTGTCACAAGATAGCTCTGTGACTGTCCATCTGTTGTTCTTAAGTAGCAGTGCTGTCTTTTGCAGATGGTAATGTTCCTGTAGCTTTGTAATATCCATGTGTTTTTCAAAAGGACTGGAGATGTGTCTTTGACTGCTATCACTTCACAGACCAAGCCGTTACATAAAGAGTTGCCATTTGATGCCTCTCTTGCCTCACTTGATGTCTTAAGCATTCATAGCAAATATAAAACATCTGACATAAAATAAAATGAGCATGCAGAACAGCAGTTCTCTCGTTTTTTGTAGTCTCCCAATAAAAATGGAACTGCTTTTTTTAAAAGTCGTAATTCATATTTCATTTAGGCAATTTATATAGCTCTGCTTTCTGAATTGGTTTTGAAGCTAGCATTGTGTAGAGTGGCTAAGTTAATCAGGTGTGTCAGTCTTTGCAGTGCCAAGGGTTCTGTCTTGAACACAATGAAGCTTTCAAGGGCCTGAACCTGCAGACTGCACTCACAGGATTACCATGGATTTCAACAAGATATTTGCCGGAGGCAAAAAAGTAGATTCCAGCTCTAGGTGTTGGATTGGATGTCCAAAGAAGTGAGAGTTACGATCAAGTAGAATGGAAAAAAGCTCTAAAATAGCCTAATGCATCCAGGCAAGCCTAACTAGTCCTTTGAAAAAGAAACCAAACAGCAGATAAATCCTGAATAGGAAATAAGTTCAGCTTCTTTACTTCTTCTTTCCTTCATTTTTCACTTTTACTGAGGCAACAAATTACCTCCAAATGAAGTGAAATTTCTGTTTCAGATTAATGCCTTTCAGATGTATGTGACCCTAAGGGTGTGTGTAGTTAATCAGCAATTCCCATTAAAATGAGAAAAAATCATGTACCATTTGAAAATAACTTATGATAGAAATTGGAAAACCATTTGTCTTTTCCTACTGTATGAAAAACCTCATTAGAAGTAAGAAAGTTAAGAATTGCCACTGAGCATGTTCCCATTTCTTAGGCAGTGATTGCTGTGGAATGCCCTTTATTTGCATTGTCTAATGCATTTTCTGTTGAGGTATATAGTAAATGTATGTGTGTCTATATATATATATATATGTAAGTACATCTAGTAGTAGATCGTGTAAATTTTAATAAGATTGTCTGATAAAATTCATTTTGCTGAGAGATGCTGATTGGATTAAACCATCCATAGTGAAGTCTACAATAGTCAGCTGGATTGCAGTCTTTCTTTACCAAATGTTTACGTAAACTCAAGAGGCTGAAGTGCACAGAACACACCAGCAATTAAATACCTGCTGTCTGGTATCCTTCATGTGTGAGTCTGGACATCATCTAAGCTTGTTCTGAAATAACTTCTTTTCCCCCCACAGGGTAGGAATGTGTGGTTTCGTTTATTTCCAGTGCAGGAATAGTGTGCTGTTATTCCAGGCACAGACTGTGTTGAGCTCTGGTGGGATTTTGTGGAAAATCTGGAAGGTTTTTTTCCGGGGTGAAAACAAGATCTCCCTGTGGGAATAATGTTTCTGTTTTTTTTTTCAGGGAAGGGCCTTGGCTATAAAGCAGTATAGCATGCTGTTGTGGAGTACAGAATAGTCTGAAACAAGAAGCTTGGTTTTCCCATTGTCAGTTTCAGACAAGAAACTGTCAGCCAGAGCTTTTTGGTAGTTTTATTTATCTTACCAGGAGAGGTTGTTCTGCGTGTGAGCTCAAAATGGGACAAAAGGAAACATAAAGCTTAGAGCTGCCGTTTTTATGAAAATGAAAAGTATATAATGAAGCCTTCCCACTCATGTTTTTCTTTCTGAGTGGCTTCCATGGATAAGGACTTTTTTTTATTATTATTATTCTTCATGGCTGTAAGAAGGCCAGAAAAAAGGTGATTTGTATCTTGACAATCTGAGATTGTTGTTTCTAAATCTGCATTTGAAAATGGTGGTGATACACAGTGTGTATCCTAAGCCTTTGCCAAGTCCATGAAAATAATAATTTTGAGAAGGTCAGCACAATGAACAGAAGGGTGTCTGAAATGAAAATGTGTAAATGAGTTGTTTGTCTTTCATTGAATTTGGACACAAACTTTTGATACTAAAGGAAGGGCTAGCATAGATGCTGAAGTAAAATCTTTTCCCTTCGTAGTATGTGTAGATTGTGTGCTTGCAAGCACGTACACACAGACACACACACAGCATAACTTTTGACAACTTTTATCTTGGGCAAATCAAGGAAAGCTGAGGTTCATTATGGTGTTTATGGTAATGCCATTTTCTTAATATGATGTGCACCTCTAAGTTATTTTTTTAATACTTTTTCCAGTCTCCACAATTACTAAGGGGTAAGTTCATGCACAAAAGGGGCAGTGTCTGGTGTCGTTTTCTGTGTTAAATGGAAAACTGTTAGGGATATTTTGGAGGGAAATAGTTCCTTTACCTGCTGCAGCTTTCTTAATCCTGTTTGCAGAGTCCATCCTTATACTATTCATCAGGCTTTTTCCAGTTTCCCAGTCACAAGTCCTAGAGATACCCTAGTCGCTGGAGAGCTTTTTCACTGTATCTGATCTATCTTTCTGTCACAAGTGGCACTAGTCCCAGCTACAAGCAGATAGGCTGGGTTGGCTGCTGCTTTTTTTTCTGATCCTAAAAAACTGCTCTGCAGCTCTACTCCTACTCCTTGTCTGTTCACTGTGGAGATTGTTCGTTTTCAGTGTGCTTAACATCTATTGGTGTGGGTAGCAACAATATTGTGTCTTAAGAAAAACAGTTTGTCCAAGTTCCATGGTTTTATCCAAGGAAAAGAAAACACAACTCTACACTAAGAAACAACTTCTCAGTATTCAGAAGTGTCCAGCACCACTATTCACTATTATTTTTAGAAATGCATTAATTGATGTGTTCTTTGATGTATTAAGTGAAATATTCTCCTTGCCAAAGAAGCAACTGTTGCACGTAAGTGGGAAGAATCCATGGTTGTGTAAAAAGGCTGGAGGAGGGAGTAAATCTGACCTTCATGGAAAGGTAATGTTCATTATCAGTAAAACATTCCAGAACTCGGGCAGTGGGAAACAGCTGTTGTAGTCAAAAGGGAAAATTGACCCGTGTTCCTTTAATGCTGTCTGACACCACAGAAATCTTACCTGTCAGTTTGAGACCCTTCTGAAGTGTTAGGTGGTCAGGACTGTCAGCAGCTTGTAGACTTCACGTTTGTGGTGTGTAAAGGTAAGGGTGATCCAATGCACAGTATATTGTGAACCTGGTACTCAATTAGGGAAAAAGTCTTTCTTTACACCAGTGCACATTCTATTTGAGTGTGCATGACTTTTTGTACATTACCTTTCACTGAATACAATGTGAACTGTCTTGTCCTTCACTAAAGGTTAATTTTCTGCTTCAGAATGCTTACATTTATTTGTATTGTGACTCTGCATCCACAAATAGATTTTAGCTGAATGTCTTGACCTCCTTCAGGTGCTGTTTGACTGTAGACCTGTAGCAAAGATAATTTCTATGCAAATGAGAGGGTCTAGTTACTCTCTTTTTAATCCAGAGTTGTTTTTGCTTTGCTTTCACTTTCCCATCTTCCCCTATGCTTCATCCCTATTCCCAGTGACTGATTTCCTCTCTAGATGGCATTCTCTGGGATGTCCATTTTTACATCCTCACTTGTACAATAAGACATGATACAGAACAACAGCTGGAACGTTTCTTTAATGACAGGATCAGTTATTACCACACCACAATGAGTGAGTTAACTGTCACTCTCCTGATTCTTATTTACAGCCATATGTAAATAATTTGTCAACATTTACGACCTTAATAGAAGAGGTGCAACTCACATCTGTGGGCATTGAATTAAACCCCATTGTTCTACAGGAGTAAGAACCCCTTTGAACAATTGGGATAATTATAATAATCAGTGAAAAGAGTCTGGTTTGCTTGAGTTCTTGTAAAGGATTAATTTGGTATGTTAAATCTGGACATCTAGTAATCTGGTAATTTATTTTAAGTGCCAATTAAACAAAAAAGTGTGGCTTTAGGCTTTTGTTTATTTGTTTGAATTAGTAATTACCCAGTTCGTGATGGCAAATACAAGTCTCCAGTCTTGCAACTGATTTCAGCTAGGGAGTAAATCTTGTGTATTTCTAATCCAGCCCCTTCTAGACTCATCTAGTCTGACAACCTAGATTAGCACATCTTTCCTTTGTAAGTATGCTCACAATTGCATCTCTTATGTTTTTGTCAGTGTGGTTCAATACATTAATTACTCTGCTCCTGACTGTCTCCTGGTAACATTCTTAGATCAAAGGAAGTAGTAAATCATTAGCTATCTGTCTGGTCCTTCCTGCATGACTCTCTCTGATTATGGTTTTGCTGTTTCCTTGCGGTTTCCCCTGTGTGAAATTTGGGACTGGAAGTAAATACCTGCTGAAATGTTGCAATCCTAGTGAAACTGGTAGCAAGTGTGTTACTCAAAATGTGAAGAACCTCATAACAAATGTATTATGCTACCCTAAAAAGTATAAATACTAGTGATTCTTGTAAAATAAATTCCATATGTACTTAGAAAGGTTACTGTGGAACAGGTGCCTTGAAACAGTCTAAGCAGAAGTCCTATTTGAAATGTCATTTGCTCTTAGGTAATTTCTGTATCTAACCATGTATGGTGTTTGTTAGTAGCAGATGGTATTTGTAGCATCAGTCACAGTTTTCACATAATTGGACAAGCAAAACATACAAAGAAGCTAATATTTTGATTATTTTTTCCCCCTAAATTTTATGTATGTACAGGGATTGATGAGAAGAGCTCTGCAAGTGAATTTGCAGCTCTGAATGCTCTTTTAGCTACTTGCAGAAAATAGAATATCAGATTGGAACTGGTTCTATGTGCTTTCTGGTAAATACTGATTTTTCATGCGAGTTCTGAAATACTTCACTGATAAGGTGTGTCTCAAGCTGAGGTCAGTTGGTAGTCAAGTGCTCTTTCAACTGAGGACTAGTGGATTGTGTGCGTGGAAGAAATTACATTGTTGTAAAGACCATTTAGACAAGGAGCTGTGTGTGTTACATTTTTTTCTGTGTCAGCAAATAGTAACACTGAGTACTTGGGACCTGAACTCCTTAACTGAAGGATTAAGGTTTGTCTGCACAGCACAGGGTTAAGGCAAAGGAGCATGAGAGTGCCAGTGTTTATGCGGTATGTAAGATTTTCACACACACTCAAGCACGGAGGGAGGCATTCCTTCCTAGCAGAGCTTTTAAAAGTAAAGGAGCCTGAGACCATCACTCAATATTTTCCTTCTGAGAATTGATTTATATGGCTTTCTTAACATAATTTTTCTCTCTCCAACACTGGCTGGTGCTGTTGAATCACTTTGTTGCCCACTTTTTGCTTTCTCTCATTTGTATTACATTTACCAGTGACCTGGATGATAGTAGCCAGCTGCCATTTACATCTTTCTACCCTCTGCCACGTTTGCCTTTCAGTATTTGACCCTTCAAGGATGTTTTTCCACCCTTCTGCTCTGGTCTCAAGACGTTTCCATGTTGTTTCTAAGTCCCTTTCAATTGGGATGAGGAGTCTGTGAGGGTAACCTGGAGGTCAGTGGAGCAGCAGTGGCACCCAGTGGTATTCTTGGTTAATCACAAGTTGAAATTTCTAGTGGTGAAGTATGGAGAAATGAAGGGTCTTCACTTCTCCTGTCTCATTCTGAGTCTGAGTGAAAGGTGTTGATCAAAATCAGGTGAGTTGGAAAATCACCTGGATGCTACTGTCTGCTGAGATGTCACCCTGAGGCCAGGCACATAAACTGCATTTCACTTTGGGAATTCCCAAGCTCTGGAAGACACAGGCACCGATAGATTTCACTGGAGAACTAATCTGTCAAGAACCTGTTTCCTTATAGGTGCAAGAGTAGTTTTCTCAGAGAAACCTTGTGTTGTTATTGGATAGTGTATGTAAGCTACTGGGGTCTGTGTTAAACCTAGCACTTACTGTACATTAGATTATCTGAACAAAGAGCCTGTGAGCAGTAAGATGAGCAGTCTTCTCCGAAAGCCTAGTTCATTGTGGTGTTACTTCTGTGCATCTTACAGCTTTTCATCCTCTTTCACTCCTGCTCATTTAGAGTGGAAGCTTTTGAGGAAAAAGTCTGCCAGCTCTTCTGTGTTTGAATGCTAATTGCAGGGTGGCCTCATCCTTCTGAAGGTTCAGAAAGCATAACAGATGTAGTTACAGAAAAAAATACTACCGGTTCTGCCTTCCAAGGAGGCCACTGTGGTAAGATTTCTTTCCTTGCCTGAATACCTGACTTGAACACTTTTTTGGTTTTTGTCAGTTTGAGTTGATCTTCTGGCTGTGCTTTTTCTTTGGGGCATAAACCAGCTCTTGAATGTATGTAGATGAACACAAGTGTGTGTTGAGGGATTTATCTCTGGTTGCTACAGCGGTACTCCCTACATGTTTAACTCTGTAGGCTTCATTCCGTCAATCCACTTTTTGTTCTGGAAATTGTTTTACTGCAGCTGTGAAAAAGCAACCCATTCAAATAATGAACCGAGTCATTTATTCAGCTACAAAAAAAAGCTCTTTTCTCATCTAAAACAGCAGCTTTCCTAAAGGGCTTTAATGAAGGTTGTTGTATTCAGAAGAGCATTTTTATCTAAGTTTGTTGGCTTATTGTTAGCCTCTTTATCTTACAGACAGCTCTTCTAAATCCGCTTGACTTTTTTATTTGCAGCTTAATGAGACCACTAATCCACGACATCCAATGGTCTACAAAGACTTCAAGTTGATTTATGAGTGGCTCTTTCTTCAGAAAACAGACCATTGCATGTCACAGGATCCAGATGTTGGCACCCAAGTTCAAGGACAATATAGGAGTGGCAGAAGTAGTGGAACTGGGGCACAGTTTATTGCTTTTCATTTTTGGTGGTGTGATACTGTCATAAATGCACCTTAATGAAAGACGTAGACCAGGAATACAGAAATACAGATAGATGGTATATGTTTTGTTGTGACTAGGAGGAATGTCCAAAGCAAGGCAAAAGATCTTTTCTGCTTGGCTCTTTTGCAGGGATTAGTCAGCCAGTATGAAATATTGTAGTCTTTAGTTTAGTGTGTACTGACGTTCCTTGTGTAAGAAGCAATGCTGTTGTATATGTATGTTTTTATATAGAAGGACGTATCAGTCTTCAGATGGAGTTAATGAGCTTGTTACTTTGCTTTCAGGGAACTGTAACTTAGTTTTAATGTTGTTTTCAAGATCTGTAAAGTTAATAAAATTAAGATTGTTCTACATTAAAGTGCAAAGTATTTTGTTTTCATTAGTCGGAGTAGTTTACGTAATGCTGGCTTTGTGTTTAAGGACTTCACAGTCATTAGGTCAGAACATGCTTCTTGAGTTAGACTTTGTTTAAGGCTAAAGTATTTTAATTTAGGAGCTGACACAGTTAAGGGGAAGCTTACTACCTAAATTCTGCCTACCTTGTTTTATTTTTCTGTTTGAAAAAACAACAGAGAAAAAGGAAGAAATAAACCATTGCTCCAGACATACAAACATTTGCTTGAGAAGTAGTAACTGTATTCATTCTGTGTTCCTGTTTTTGCTTACAGAGGAGGAATTGTTCAGTAATTTGTCCATATTCAATGAAACGTGTGTGAAGTGGCAAAGGAAAACTGGAAGACTGGGAGTGCAAGAGATTTATACAGTAAGTGAGGCTATATTTGAGATTGGGAGTAGCTTTGTCCTGATCTGGGTTAGGAGAAAAACAAATCCCTGTCTTAAAGTTTGGTGAAAAACTGAAAAGCTGTTGATTTACTGTTCCACCTGCTTGAAACTGTAAGAAGCATTTCAAAACAAGTTAGGTTTTAATGAAATACCATTCTAGAGCTCCAGGTCACAGTGACACAGAAAACATTGCAAAACTGGAGCTCTGTCCCTATCTGTGATGCAAACATTTCAAGTAAACAGTATATCACTTGCAGATACTGGATTTAACTTGTTCTAGAAATGCAAGGTATATTGAAATACTATGCCTTGCTCAAAAGATTCAACCAACTGCAAGTGAACATTTTAGAACTGTTTTTCATGGAAATTTAAAGCAACCTTGGTAGCTACTTTTTTCCCCCCCCTAATCTATAAACGTATGAATAAGTTAAGATATGAATTCTCAGAAAAAAACAGTTCAGTCAGTGTTACTGAAAGCCAAAACAACATGATAAAAATTCCCAGGGTTTGACAATGACAACATCCCAATCAAGGTTGGTTGTTTGGGCATGCAAAAACAGGGAAAAAATAAAAAGGGAATTAATTAGGATCCCCAGGATGGATAGGTTAATGTAAAAGATAATTTCATGGTTGGGTTATTATTTTGGAAAACAATCTGCCTTTCTCCCCCTGTGCTATAAAACAATGGGTTTTTAGTTTGGGTGCTTTTATTTAGCACTGCTAAGAAAATAATAGTTCCCAGTTATTATAATAGTTCAAAACCAGCTTTTCATGTACCCAGTGGTAACTTGCAAGCTGTGGATCTCTGGTGTAATGTGCTTTTGCCTGAATTCCACTGTCTGCAAGACACTTCAGAATATGATGAGCAGGAGATGATACTATAATGAGGATGATGTGGGCATAGGGTGCATGTAATGAAGTTCAGAACATAGCTAGGTAAGCTTTGTCTGTCCCTTCATGTCCAACAAAGAGGAGATTTATTTTTCACTGCTGGAATGATTTTAGAGAAGCTTACCTTTTACTGCTGTTGGTCATTCAGTCTTACTGCTGCTTCTGTTTACAGAAGGGTGAAAAGCTAGAAAAAAGAAAAGCAAGTAGCAAGCAGATAGAGCTTCTGTCTGTGTCTTAAAAAGAATATTTACTCACACTTTACTGTATGTGTTGGAGGTATTTGTAGGATCCCTGTTAGAGATGCCTTCTATTTTTTGTAGAAATCTATGAAAAAATACTCATCATTTTAATAGCCCAAAGAAAATAACCTAATTTATTAAGCCATTTTGTTGTGCCAAAACAGTTATTCGTGAACCTATTTTTTCATTTAGCTGATACTCTAAAGCAGATGTTATCCTAGGTTTTCAAGGCTTAATTGAACTAGTATTCTGTATTTTTGAGAGCCCAAATCAATTGCACCATCACTTTTTTTAATCCTTCAATAGTTTCACATACTGGGCCAAAGATGGGATGAGAAGACATTCTCAGAAGATGCAGTATTTAACATCACTACAAGTGAAGATAATCCAAAGGTGTGTTTAGATCTCAACTCTGGCAGTAACTACGTGGTGAATATTACTACCATCTCTACCACAAACATCACTGTCTCAGTTACAGTAGCAGTTCAGACAAAGGGTAGGTTATATGTTGTATTCTCTGTGCTTATAGAAGAAATCACTGTGCTGCAGAGCTCACTGTTTTGAGTCTGGCAGACAGGCTAACAGTTGGTCTCCTAAACTGTGTTGTTGTTTACACTGACTACACATCAGCATCCTCTTTTTCTGCAAGACTTTTTTCTTTCTGCTCGCTGTGGCCATTGAATCTAGGAGCAAACAGCAGTGCGTCGGTGACCTGCAGAAAGATTTGGCAAACTTGTTTCTTCAGGATTTTTCATTTGCCTGAGGCAGGATTG